CTCGATCCCAGGACCCTGGGATCATGACCTGAGCCGAAGGCAGACGCTTAACGACTGAGCCACCCAGGTGCCCCCCTAAGGATGATTTAAATCAACATTGAAATACAGCTTTTCCTTTCTGTATATCTTTATCTTTTCCTGGATATGTGCTCTCTTGTGTCCTTTCTTCTACCATATGACTCTCCTTCAACCGGAAATGATACAAATCTCCACACCCTCCTTTACAAACTTGTTTTTCCTTTGAGTTCTTAATTTTCTATTTTAGTTAATAGCATTATGTCCTGACACTCAGTTGCTCAAATTACAAATCTCTCTACCCTTTTCCTGCTTCTACCCTTTTCTTGCCTCTACTTAGAGGCAAAAAAATATATTCTTTAAAGAATAAAGAATTACTTGCTAGTAATCCAGTGCATTTTAAACATTTTTTGAGTTGTAAGAACCATGAGTTCACTTTATTTCTCCTTTGAAATATTTCATTGGAATGACCATTTTATGAAGTAATTTAACGTAATTTTTGTCTAACAGAACAGAGGAAAACTAAACACTTTAAATTATTAAACATTTCTGTGTTTGTGTACTCGGTAACTCCTGAGTGAGAGCAGACAGCTAAGAACTAATTAGATGAATGAACCAATGAAGATTAAGTCTTTATTAAACAGTCTGAAATTTTATTAAAAAAAGGCCCTCATCACCTAACATAAAGGAGGAAATTATATGTTCATTTTGAAAAACAGCAACAAATGTTTCCTTTCTGCTCCCTCTTGGGTGCTTCAGAACCTTCCCAGCTGTGCCCATGTCTTAAACCTGTTTGTTTAAGAGAAAACTGATGAGCAGTGAACAGTTAACACCCAAGGAGCATCAGCGTACATTTCCATTTTGGAAACTCAGTATTTTCATAAGCTAATCACACACCCAGGCAAACTCCTTTGTTAGCCTTAGTGTATAAACTACAACAAAAGTAGGTTATAGCTGTGTCTATGACATGCCTCAGTAGCCTGTGGAAAAGAAAATGAAACTGATTATTTAGAGTCAAGCTATTTGACTAAAATCTGCAGTTACTGAACATTCTGACAGAGATTTGCAGGAACAGGGCTAAATAAACTATCTTTAAGTTAAATATGACTTTTACTTATAGTATCTTTAATTTTCTGAGTGCTCAAGCCCACAAATGGAAGGGCTGTGCTACACAGCCTTAACTTAAACATTTTATAGTTGAATACTTGTCTGAAAATTTGCTATTTTCTATCATGGAAGTTTTCTAATGAAAGTTTCAAAAATTATAAAATGTTCAAAGGAAAAAATAATTTTTAAATCTTTCTTTTAAACTAGTGTTCAGAATCAGGTGGATGAAGTTATTGATGTCATGCAAGAAAATATTACAAAGGTAATTGAAAGAGGGGAGAGACTAGATGAACTACAGGACAAATCAGGTACAGATACTTCATATATTTCTCGATACTATTTGTGGGGTTTTTTTGTTTTTTTTTTTACTATTTGTGTTTTGATAGTTTATTTCTCCTCCCATTTCTCTTAGGAATCTTAGCTTAGGAAAATATTAGCTTAGGTCCTTAAGTTTGTGATTTTAGTATTTTAACTTTAGCTCCCTTTATTTGAATCCTCTAATTGCATTAATTATCGGGTTGAAAATGGAAAAATTTTAAATTTATTGTTGAACAGTTAGAATAAAATTGTTTTTGCCTTATTATGTTCATGTGCACTGTATTTCTTTTCTCATGATCTCAAGAAGGAAAAGTCTAATCACTTTTCAACACTTATGTCAAACTTCATTTGATATTTTTATCTTAGGCTTTCTCTGATAACAGTAACATTTCTTTATTGACAGATGTTAGTCTCTGTACTTGTAACAGTTGCTGGCACATGTTAGCTTCTCAAATACTGTTTCAATGATGAATGGCTAAATACCTCACTCATCCTTGAAAGACTTATCGAACCACAGAACTTACTTAACCACTTTTAAAATTCATTGTTTTATTTCAGACTGTTTCACGGTTTATTTATCCATTGTCCTGTTAATGTTTGAGTTGTTTCAGATTTTTTTCACTATTAAACAGGTTTATAGTGGGCATGCTTGTACATGTCTCCTTGTGCGCATGTGTGAAAGTTTTTTCTAGGGTATGTAACTAGGAATAAATTGCTATTTAGTAGGGGACAGATATTTTCAGCTTTATTAGATACTGTCAAATTATTCTTCAAAGTGATTAAATCTGCTGATTTATATCCTTACTAGCTATGTATGAGAGTTCCTGCTGTTCCACATCCTCAATAAAACTGATATTGTCCCAGCAAAAATAAATAAATAAATAAAATTCATTGTTTTACTTCAAAATCAGTCACTTTTTGTATCTTCTAAGAATCTACATTTTCCACGTGTAAATTTTTTTTCCATAGGTGTGTCAAGTATTTGAATTTTTAAAGAGTATTTTCTTACCAGGATTTATAAGTTTACGTGAAAGCATTGAGGCCCTGGGAATAATGACCTACAGCCATTTTTTGCGCGCCCCCCCCCCATACAGATTGCCAGAGTTTGTGGGTGGAGGAAAGGGAGGATGTTGTTTTCAGGCTTAAAAGGGAATACATTTGCAGAAGTAGAAATTAATATTTTCTTGTCTTTGTGTGACTAGATAAAAGAATCCTGTTATGTCGTTTAATCCTTCTCTCCATCCTCTATGTGATATAGAAAGCTTATCGGATAATGCAACTGCTTTTAGCAACAGATCCAAACAACTTCGAAGGCAAATGTGGTGGCGTGGATGCAAAGTAAGTCAGAAGACACTGGATAAGTTGCCCAGCATCTCAGGTGGTCTTCAAAGAATAAAGGGCTTCTAGATCTGAAGCCCTGTGAGGACAGGGACTACCACTGCCTTGTTTATTATAGCTTCTGAACTTGGGACATGCTGGGACTCAGCAAATATTTGTTGAATTAATTAATAGCTTTGGGGACAGGAATAACTAAAGGAATCAAGCAATTCCTAAAAGGATGTTTTCATGGATTTCTTCATAGAAAGTATCCCACATTTTATTAGTAATTTAGCTACTTGTACACTTACTACCTTGTAAGAAATATAAATTTTTCATGTAATTTATTATTAGTACCTTTTTGGAGCATCTTATAACATTACATAGAGATATTAAAAAGATGGAGTGGAAGCTAGAGAAAAATATAATTTTCTGTTGGAAGGGAAAAAATAAAAGCAGTTTGTGTGTCAGAATCCATTATGAAAAATGAGGCTTAAAAAAAACTCACTATCCTTTATTATTCCAGAGAAATGTTTAACAAGGAAAAACATGAGAATCAAAATATACACTAATATATTTTTGCAAAACATTTTATAAAAATGAATTTGCCTCTTAAATATGGCTACTAAGCATTAAACAGAAAATGTTTAAGATTTTATAGTGAATTTCATGTCACACAAGCAATTTCTTTTTCTTCCCAATTCCATGTATCAGTTTTGACTTTGTTGAAAATCTTAGACATAAATTCATTGTTTTTAATCTCTCATTTTCAGGTTTAGTGATAACTTTCTAAACTTGACATTGCCTTATGCTAAGGATTTCTTCCAAGAGTTGCCGTGGTTTTACTTGTTTTTATCTGTTGACCTGTTGAATCATCTTACTTTCAGATACAGAACTGAGGAAAGAAACATGTTTCATTGTTCCCCTTGTCTAGAATTTTAATTTTTGCTTAAATTTTCATTCTTTAAAGAATAAATTTCCCATTTTCTTTAAGTTTTCCGTTCTTATAGAAATTCTCTATAGCCTGGTTTGGAAGAACAAAGGGTTATGAGCCACTCACTTCCTTTCCCCATACGTACACATGACCCATTCATGTACCACAAAAAGATGACCATAATGTGCATTTTGCCTAGCTTTTTTTAGCCATTTCTAAAGATAGTTGTTTTGCATTTTCTGGATTTCAGATCAGAGGAACAGTATGCTTTATTTTTTTTAACTGAGTTTTTAAGGAGAAAAATTGAATTATATTTTTAAATTATATTTGAATTATATTTCTAAATAGTCCCTATATCACTGCCACTTTCTAGTTTGACTGTGATGAGTTAGGAAAGGCTAAGGAAAGAGATACAGGGAAAGAAAACAGAGGTTGCCAATGGCTAAGGGTAGGGAGGTGGATACTGACTATAATAGGGCATGAGGGAACTTTTTGGAGTGATGGACATGCCTTATGTTTGACTGATGGTGGTGGTTGACAGCTATACATTTGTCAAAACCCACCAAGATGAACTTTAAAAGGATGAATTTTATTCTAGTTAAAGTATATTTCAATAAACCTGACTTTAAGTAAATGAACAAAATTATCCAGTAGGTGAGGAGGGAGAATTTCAACATTGTTTTGTTATCATAATTAAAAATTTTAATAGGCACCTGGTGTCCAAATTGCAAAGCTTCCTTGTATTCTCTTGGTCACTTTGTTCTTGTCATAAATGCCACTAAAAATGTTACCAGTAGCTTTAGTTTAGAAACATTAAAGCTACTTCTGGTTGCTATTTCTAATACTCAAGTGTTTATAGTAGATAGGTGTCTTTTTTTATTAATGAACCATCTTTAATCAATTATCTGTGAAAATCTTTGATGAAAATAGACTTGCATTTGAATTCATCAGGAAAATCAAACCAATTTATAGTTTATGTCTTTTAGGATTAAATGAGGAATGTGACAATTTTATAGAGAGAGATGTGAGCTGAAAATACTAAGCAGCTAAGGACTAATCTTAAGGTTTCTCTTCTCAACTGTGAAATTGGCAAAGAGTGCTCTTAGGCAAGTTATTTATTAAATGAGGTTATTCACGAAGAATCTAAATTATATTCCTCAAAATGGAGACAGAAATGCCAAGAAGAGAGTAAGGAACAAAAACTAACAGAATTCTCATATACTTTGAGAGTAAGTGCTATAAAAAACGCTGCCTTATGTGGAGAGAATGAATTGTGTTAGATACCTGTGTTATTCATCATATCCTAACACTTGTGAACAAAGTTGCTAAAATGTCATACTTTTCTTGGTCTCGTATTAGAAATCAGCATGAGAAATCATAGACACAATGTTCAGGCCAGTGAGGGCTTTGATTCTTACTGTTTGCTGTGCAGTGCAGCCTTGAACAATAAAATCCAGGCAAAAACCCCTAAATTTGGGAACCCTGATTATTTATAAAAAGATGCAAATAGCCAGCAAGTGCACATGATAAAAAATTGGACAGGCTTTCAAGGGATGAGCCTATTCATTGATGAGTTAGTATGATGTAATAAGTATCACAACAGATAATCTTGGCTTTATTAACAAGTCAAACATTAATACCTATCTTATGCCTTTTGTGTGTTGTAGATAAAAGCCATCATGGCTTTGGTTGCTGTTATCCTTTTGCTAGTGATTATCAGTAAGTATTTACTGGATTAGTAATTTTGGGGGCTATCATTTGTTTTAGAGTTGATTCTAATTTCTCTTTTAACTTATTTTCAGTCGACCTAGTATGAATAATGTCAGGTTTGAGTAATGACTTCTGACCCAGGTCAGGACCTCTTAACCCACTAGGGTCTGTGGATCTCTGAAAATGTTCTTAAATTGTATGAAAAATTGTATGTGAATATGCATGTGCACATTTTTATTGGGAGAGAGTCTGTATCTTTTATCAGATTCTCAGAGAGTCCTGCCTACTCCCCACCCCCACCGGCAAATATAGGGCTAAGCTATTTGTTCCAGGCCCATCTTCTGTTAACTTCAGGTATGGAAGCTTGTATTTCATAATACTGTGTTTGGAGGACAAGCCCAGATAAATTTTCTCCAGATGATGGTTTTTTGTTTTGTTGTTTTGGTTTGGGATTTGAACTTTATTTCAATCATTAAAGCTTAACTCTTGTCCTTTCTTTTTTTCCATAATGTTCTAATTAAAGTCAGATCATTTTTACTTCTTCCTCCTCTCCAAGGCCTCTTTACCTGTGTTTGTAGGGATTTTATGAAGATTTGTAAAGTGTCTCAAAATAACCATTTGAAAAACTCCATGGTGATACCCTCAGAAAAAGGTTGTTACAAAGAAATAGTGTTAATCCTCATTCGTGGATTCTGTGTTTATGACTTCACCTAAAACACTGATGTGTAAACCAGAAATCAGTCCTGGAGGTGCTTCACCGCTCATTGGCAGCTGTGTCCGGAGTGGTGAAAAATCTTGAGTCTCCCAATGTGCACGTTCCCAGCTGACGTCTAACGAGGCCATGCTCTGCCTTTCTAGCTTCAGCTCTCATAAAGTAAACAAGTGTCTTTCTAAGTCTGTTTGGTGCCACGTTTCTCACATTTTTGTGCATTTTGTTCGTGATTTTACTGTTTAAAGTGGCCCCCAAGCATCATGCTGACGTGCTGGCTAGCGTTGCTAAGCTCAAGAAGGCAGTGACAGGCCTTCTGGAAAACACCTGTGTTAGATAAGCTTCATTTAGGCGTAAATTACAGTGCTGTTGGCCAGGAGTTCAGTGTTCGTGAATCAACAGCATATATGGAAAGGTTATCTTTGAACAGAAACACAAGGTTATATATTGATTCGTTGACAAAAATGTAGCCAGAGGCTTGCAGGAATTTAGCCCTGTATTTTCCCTAGGAACAAGGGTTTATTATTCACTAATTCAGTGTTTGTAGTGACTTTATAGAACATAACTACTGTAGATACCAAGATTCAACCATATATTTATGGTGGATAATTTGGAAAATGTGGAATAAAGCATAAAGAAGAAAATAAAATTCAGCTGTAATCCTACTATACAGAGATAGCCACTGTTAATATAACTATCATATATACTTCAAGTTTTTTCCTATTAAGATATTAAGCATGTTTTTCAAAAACTAACATATATACTTTCTAATAAATATGTTTAATAACCTGGGAAAATATGTGCAACATTTAAAAAAATATTGTAGCAGCTGTATGCTATGGTAATATCATAATCTATTTGATCAAAATGCTAATTTAGTGGCACCTGGCTGGCTCAGTCAGTAGAGCATACGACTCTTGGTCTCAGGGTTGCAAGTTCGAGCCCCATGTTGGGTGTGGAAATCACTTAAAAATAAAATCTCTAAAGAAAAAATGCCAATATTAGACATTTAGTTTGTTTTATGATGTTTTTGCTTGTCCACTCCCATTTGTTATCTTTCATCTCAGATAAAAGTTCCTTCCTGGGTCTCCTGGGTGGCTCAGTTGGTTAAGCATCTGACTCTTGATTTCAGCTCAGGTCATGATCTCAGAGTTGTGAGATTGAGTCCTGCACTGGGCTCTGTGCTCAGTGCTCAGTGGGGAGTCTGCATGAGGTTCTCTCTCCCTCTTCCCCTCCCCGCCCGCCCCACGTGCACACATTCTCTCTCTTAAAATAAATAAATAAATAAATCTTAAAAAAATAAAAAGTTCGTTCCTCATTACCTATTTCCAAAAGTAGACAGCTACATTTAGGAATATTGTTTTGTTTTGTTTTTTTAATTCTTTTTTTTTTTT